CAAATACATTAAATATCTAATAGCAATTTCTCAGACTTTGAATGAACTGTTCCAAGTTTACAGCTGAGCAAAACCATTTCAAAGATTTACCAGGTAAAGGATGACATAGACTAAAGATAGGTTAAATGTACATTGTGTATTTTAGTTACTTATTCAATGTACATGTATATGGAGAGCTACTAGAAGATGAAAGATTTCATCTATCCATGCCATGAAGGTCTAAAAGTGGACTTCCACATGTCTAATAATTAATAAAGAGTGAGAACAATGAAAAATTCTATAATTTAACAAAGCCCATTTTCATAACTACCATCTCAAAAGGTATTGAGAATTTGCTACCCCGTTGCTACCCCGTTGTTTCCATGAGTAAGAAAATTTTCACGCATTGCTTCGTACTCATTTCAACAAAGACTTTCATTAGGAAGCGTATAGCTCTGTGGTTTCAGGGACTGATTCGAGACTATGTATTTTTTACTACGCAATCAAACTAAAATAAATCCTGAATAAAATGAATTAGTTTCCCCCACAAAAATATAATTAAAAAATGCTGAGTCTCGACGGTTAATGTGTGACAGTTCAGTACCATATATGAATCGAATCACATTTTCCGGCGTTACCGCGAAGCACTATTGACGTACATCGGCGTTACCTACCTAAAATCGAATTATACGGTACAATATGCATTGCTCTACTTACAAGAGTCGACACAAGCCAAAATCTCGCTCAAAACGATAGTCACGAATGATCTTGAAAATTAAACAATTTCGTGGAAATAATCTTGATGAGGGATAAATAATAATAATGTCTTTGCAGCCGTATGCCGTGGTATAGCAATCTACACCGAGTTATACCGAGATATGTATAATTGTAGCGAAAAGGATTCACATATAGCGTTTCCAGACCATTCTATTTGAAAGACCCTGATGACACCAAGAGAAATTTGAGATAAAAATCTCATTTTTGGAGAAAAAAATGGAGATAGATCAAGCGACGATATGTAACTAAAATAAATTATAATTAACCTCAAGGTTAAAATGATTTGTATTTTTTACACTACAAATTAATATGATTGCAAAGAGGAGAGTCGGGTAACAATTAGTTACTCTGTACAACTATTACTAGCACCTTAAAACAGGGATATAGATAATCTATAGATAAAACAGAAGGGGTAGAACTATGGTAATAGAAATAGTGAAGCACGTGATATTTTACTTTGTCAGATGAGGGGAAGTACTTGTGCAGGTTAAAGAAAGAAATTTATCTTAAGTTGTGTCCCTTTCTACAGATGGCATCGCTTCTTAAATGTGCTACTGCAAATCGGCTCTTACTCGGCAGTAATTAGTGTAGCCGCTTTTTCATGAAGAAACCAGTGCTGATAGTGAAAATTTTGATTGGCATATTTTAATTAGCCAGGTCAGGTGTTTCTAAAAAGGCTGGTAACACTGTAGCAATGTGAGGATACATTCAAATTTATTACATAGATAATGCACGTGGAGCTCAGCTCGCAGAGACAAATGAGAACACAGTAACTTTTTTGATATCCTTTTAACTCTAAGAAAAATGTCAATTATTAATTGCTGACTGTTTATATTTTCTAGAAAAAGTAAGCAAAACATTATTTTGTTTCATATGACAGGAATGAATTGCATTAACAATCCTAGGTATTGTTGAAAACCCATTGTTTTACATGCCAGATTAAGTAATTGGACCCCATCCTTGTTTGTACGTGACTGCTGGGGAAAAAGTAATGTTATGCTTAATTAAAGAGGTGACACTTTTTATATTTTTATCTGATATCGAGTTGTAAGAGCCGATTTGCAGTTATATGGGTAAGAGTTCGATAAGACTCCCAACGGTCGCCTTGATACGAACTCTTACCCATACATATAGTCAAGTCGTTATTATGAAAGTGAATGGCTATAAAGGACAGAAACATTGTAAATTACATTAATAATAGCCAATAATTTTTAGAATGATATGCCCCGAAACACAATATTGAATTAATACTTGTAAAAATCCTAGTTTTACTTCTAATAAGCTGTGTCATGTACACGTACTCTACCACCACTACATAACCTCAGACTGATATCTTTATATACGTAATACATGTATATTTGATATCACAAATCTGATTTGCATTAATCGCTGAATATGTTTTTGCATTTATTTTAGTTTATGAATGCTGCAGGAAATATTACTTTTTTCTCGGTATTATGACCGACTGACATTTAAAACAAATTCTCATCAAAATTATATAACATAAAACAATATTAATTTCGTAATTTTTAGACTCCAGCACATACGACTTATAACATGACCTTGACATTTGAAAATATCTAAAGATATCACAAAGGAGGGGAAAAGAAAGGTACATTCATATATATAACTCATTTTTTCTATTTACTTTTCATTCCTTGATAATTTCCTCATTTACGACTTTTTGTTTTGTTTTGCGCGGTAACTTGAAACTAGCATTTTCTTTCTACCGAAGATTATTTCACCAAAGCCTTTTTGCAAGGTTAACCCTTAGAGGGCAATGCGCGATAGTGATCAATGTATGACATCATTTGATCAGAGTGTATATCCATGTTTTCTCTTATATTCAGGAAAAGTTCGAAAAGCGAGTCCGTTTTAAAAATTCGATACAACAAAAATAGTCTTAAAGGTTGATTATAGAAATGCTAAAAAGTCACATGTTCACGTTCATATCAGTGATGATTTGCGTATTATTTTAAATAAGAAATTATTATAAATACTCGGAATCCAAATGTAATAACTGAAAGAAATAACAGCAAAGTATTGACAGTTTATGAGAACGTTTTTGTCTGATTTAATGCTTTCGTGAAAGAAAAGAAATGTTGATAAGTTGATTATTTAAGCGGAAAAAATAAATCTTCAGTCTAGTGATTTAAGAAATTGTTATTAGTTTTGTTGTTCAAATGACTATTTTGATAAAAAGAACACTAATTTACTTGGACAGCCCTTTGTCATGCTCTTACGAGAGATTGCGTTAAATTAAAAAATGTCTTAAATAGATACGACAAACTTCACCTGGGAAACAAACGAACCATTTCATGAAATCGCAAAGAAAATTTTAAAATGAGTGTGCTTATATGTTAAAATGATTTCAATTCTAGCGTCTGTCTAATTTGTATTGAATAAAGAAAACCTATGCATAGCTAGTTTTTGTATTATGTAATATGGTCACAAGCTGAAGGCTGAATTTCAAGACATGTCTTTCGAAATCATCGACTGTCAGGTTAAACACACACACATACACGCACGCACGCGCACGCACGCACACACACATATATAAGACTTTAGCTTGTATAAGATATAGGACCGTATTTGGTCAGTGAAAGAAAGATTTTCCCCAACCATTTTAGCTTTAGTATACACGAGTAGATAGCGTTAATCGAGTTAATATTGTCAAAGCTAGACTGAACTGATTTACACATGTATTGTATCAATTGAGAGCTTACACAGCTATCTTTGCGATATATGCAAAACATGGTTAAAAGCGAGACATTGGCCTAGTTGCATTCATATTTGAACACCCCTCGTATATTATGCATTTATTGACTATTTTCTTAAAGTGTTCTTTTTCTTTTCACAATATCTAAGAAAATATTTTTTTTAATAAAGGCAAGTCATTGGTTATTCCTTATGTTTGTGTACATAAAATTTTTACAAATGCATTTATTAGTTTGTTATTCCAATAAAACATTCTCTTAAAATCAAACTTCGTTATTTTTTAAAGCCGTATTAAAGTAGAGATAATCACCTAGTTTAAAAAAAAGCAGATTTGCAACGTTTATGATATTTCTATTTCTTGCCTTTTTCGCATAGGATTTAATAATGGCGCCGAATATATGGTTTTATTTTAGAAAGCGTATCTGATTGTCGCAGTGAATGAGAATTTTCAATTTTCTTAATCATCAAAATAAGTGATGATTATAAAATTTGAAAACATGATATCAGTAATGTTTTATTCAAACATTTTAAAATGATATCTGTCGTAACAGTTTTAGATTACTTTTCTAATAGAATCAAATAAAGATGTCAGCATATTGACTTTTCCAAGAAAGAGGAAATTAGTAATATGATAAATTATAAATGAGTGCTAAAACTAAAATTTGTTTTGACATAAAATAACGTTTGCTTGTATAAGCGCGGTCACGAATTCAAATCCCAGCCGTGGTCGAATCTTTTCTTATGTATTTAATTGTACTTTCTGTTACACACTCAAAATGTTTGTAAGAAGCTCAACGACAAACTTTAAGAATAATTTTAATCAAATGAAATGTAATACTAGCTGCGCACAAATTTGGTTTTGTAACAATTTAAGTAAAGAATGAACGTTCCCATGTTGACGCCGCGTGTCCGCGCACTCGTGCTATTATTACGCCTTGTACCATTATTACGCCTTGTATTAAAAGCTATGTGGCTTAAAAATATTCATTACGTGCACATAGACAGCAATCACATTTTAATTATATTACTTGTAATATATTTAAAATGAAATGGAGGAACGAACGAACGAACGGACAGACGAACAAACAAAAGAACGGACTGACTGACGGACGGACAGACGACAGATGAACAAACAAACGAACGAGTGAATGAATGATTGATTGAAATTAAAATATGTGGCGATGATAATTAAAATGATATCTAACAATTGTATAAAAAAAACGGTATTTAAACACTGTGACAAAAAAGAAAGTATATTATTCTCTATAGATATCATTGATATATCCTGCTTAATTGCTTACGTGCTGAAGTAAAATGTAATTATAAGTTTTATAACCTGTGTAATTCTAATTGCTTGAAGTGTAATGGAATATTTGGATTTAACGATCGCGATAAAGTAGTTTGGACTATGTTTTGTAGTCTGTATAGGCATAAAAGACAAGTTTTCCTTATATTACCATTTGTCTTGTCGTCTTCCATATCTTTATCGGTCGCTAGATGACATTTTTGAGCCCTTAGTTCCATATTACATGTAAAGCGTCTTACGTAAAGTGTCTCTTATCTTATTCACTAAATTATGCTATTCTCCACAAAAGAGATGTTCAACGTGGCAGTTATTTTGCTTTCGATATTTTCCTTTTATTTGGTTGATTCAAGTGAATCTTCAAGAAAAAGGTTACTATTGCATTCACAAGAAGATCTTGTTCAAAGGCTTATTAAAGTGGAAGCTGAGCTTGAGGGTCTTAAGAATACTTCGAAACAAACAGGTAAGACTAACAAAATATTTAGATTCAAATGAGTGCAATTGTCTAACAGTTTTATTTGTATACATTTCATTAATGAGATTAAAAAAAGTATCACTACAAAGTACCGTTTCAGATTTATGAAATAACCAGTACTTAATAAGTTCACATTGCAAATGTGGAAACAGTGACTTGATACGAGGATTAATCCAGCAACATCGAAGTAACCTTTTTCCAATTTTTATCAAAACAAGCAATTTGGCAGTGTTTTATAAGGTGTAATATTTGCTTAAAACCATTTATACAATCTATTAATAATCGGTCAATTTTTACGAATAATTGATATAAGCACACTCTATTATTTTGGCAGGTGTGAAATAAATGTGTGTTTTGTTTAATAATTGTATTAAATTCATTCCAGGAAGTGGTTCTACATATGTGAGATGGGGAAGAAACACATGTCCTGCCGACAATGAACTTGTCTATACTGGTAGTTTTCTTTAGGAAAATATAGTTTGATTTAAAAAATCACATCACTTTTTGCTTGCAATTCTGATTTGATTTCAAGTAATCTTCCGTTCTTTGTTCATACATCGTATCTACAGTAAACGCCAGTATTTTTCAAGTTTAATGTTCACACATGCATACGATGAAACGTTAATTCAGTAATTCGTAAACATGTACAAGTTCTTCTTTGTCTTTATCGTAATGTATTCTTTAGTACATCCTTAGATAGTTCAACATTTTTCAATTCTTTTCTGTGTCCATGTCTTTGTTTAGAAGTTACTAATACATTTCTGTGATTTTCGATATGATGACCAATCTTCTGATATTTTTATTCTTTTAGGATACACTGCTGGGAGAAAGTACGCCCGCACTGGAAGTGGCACAACTAATTTATGTCTTCCCGATGACCCCAAATGGGCAAATTATGTGGATGGTAATGGTGGATGTTGCCGTGCGCATATATACGGCGCTGAAATAGACGTAGAAGAACCGAATCATATTTTTCCATATGCAGTTAATAACCAAGACATACCCTGTGTCGTCTGCAAATCTCCACGTTCGATTTCCCTTATGATTCCGGCAAGAAAGAAATGCTATCCTGGCTGGACAATTGAGTATTGGGGGTATCTTATGGCTGGTAGGTTTAATACACCTGGGGGTCATGATCATATATGTGTAGATACAAAACCAGAGTTTAATCAACATGGCGGTACAGATGATAATGAACATATATTGTACCCTGTGGAAGCTCAGTGTGGTTCCCTGCCTTGTCCACCATACGTGCAAGGAAGGGAACTACCGTGTGCAGTTTGTTCTAAATGATTTATAATTTATCTTTATTTTAGCAATAATGAAAATAAATTGTTTAAATCATAGGAAGTTGTTAATGTGTATTAAGTATTTGAAGCTCACTAGAGAAACAAGTTCTAGCTATGACAACTTACGTTGATCATTTTCGATCCTGCATTCTGGAACCTACCAGTAATAGTATCATCTGATGACAGTTGATCGTGACCGGAGTGTAGTTTGTTCTAAATGGTTTATTTATCTGTCTTTGCAATTATAGAAAAATAATTATTCAGAAGGAATAATCTTATTTAGTGTATGATGCTTGAAGGGAACTTATCTTAAGTGTCTTAAGCTATATATCTGATGCAAACATTACTGTTTCCATTTTAAAAAAGTATATTTTAAAAGTATACTTCCAAAATGCTGGTATGAAATAAATATGGTAACATATTGCCTTGAAATGCACAAAATCATTGCTAAACGGATAAAACCTTACTTAAATAGGAAAATAATATTTTGTTACGGAACTTTTTATTCTTTTTACGTATTAAATAACAGAGACATTCTATGTTACAACTTTTCAGGGAATCAACCATATTATAATGGAACTAATATAATTTTACTGTTAATACATTTTATTAAAATATTTCAGAAGATATAGATTTATAACCTTTTAGCTCTTATGAGGATCAAGTTCTTACTTAACTTTTTCGAGTCAGCTCCCTAAAACAAACCAGTACTTTTGTCATTTGAAGATACATGTAGTTGTGACCCGAGAAGGGTAAGGCTCGAACCATTGACAACACAAGTCAATAAAATTTAAGATTTTACTCAGATAGTCCATTCTGATGTAATTATGTTTAAATATTCAACCGTTGTACCAAAGTCTACGGCTCAAACCTACGAAGAGTAACGATACTTTATATACCGGTATGTATTTTGAAATGAAATAAAACAAGTGTCATGAATCACATAATGTTTTATATATATATACTCAGTATACTTGGTAATGTTAGGGTATTTCCTGTGTATATGGCCTGTTCAATGTCAGTCGTGTGATTGCTCAAATGACTGCTTAGTTAAATGTAACACCGCCTGTGAAACTATTTTCTAAATAAATAATGTTATATATTCATGTGAGATATAAACTTATACTAGGCAACATTTAAGTTTGAAAACGAACAGCCAAAGGAATACTTTTTCATGGACTTTGGGCTCTTTTTATATGATGAATCTATCCAATGGGCTTACAGATTTTCGATTTTCTGCTGGTCTCTTAGTATGCACTTTAGTGACTGAAA